ATATATATATTGTATTATTATTTCAGGTACTTATATAGTGCCGTCAGTTTACGCAGCACTTTACATATACTGTATATATTACATTGACATCAGTCTGTAACCCTCAATCTAAGGTCCCTAACTTACATTCATACATACACATACTAGGGACAATTTAGACAGGAGTCAATTAACCTACCAGCATTTCTTTGGAGTGTGGGATGGAACCGGAGTACCCGAAGGAAAACCACGCAAGCACAAGGAGAACATGCAAACTCCAAGCAGGTGGTGCCATGGTTGGGATTCGAACCAATGACCCTAGAACTGCCTGGTGGAAGTGCTAACCATTTAGCCTCTGTGCTGCCTAATACCCTATTCCTTAGGACCTGGTCTTCAAGAGCCAATGATCACAGATCTGCAGAGCAGATAAAGAATGAATTTTAGAGGAGGAAAGGCATAGATCAGGTGTAACCAGGGGTTGACTGACCATTTGGAAACTCGGGCACTGCCTGAGGGCCCTGGGTCAGTAGGGGGCCCCATGAGATGCCTCTGGTACCTTTTTCATAGGCTTTTTTAAGTTTGGGCAAGGACACAGGGGCCCCATGATCCCCTATTACCTGGGGGCCCCATGAGTTGTCAGTCCTCCCCTGGGTGTAACTGATCCTGCTATGTTACCAGAGCATCCACTGCCATTTCCAGAGAATGCCTGGACCTAGAGACAAACCTGTCCAGTCTATTGTAGGGTCTGGAAGCCAGGAGGTCCTTGTCTGGCACACTCCACCTGTGAGATAGGTCATGAAATATCCACAGATAAAGAAACCATTTTTCTGCGTCCAGAGGTTTTCAACTTAGAAAATCTGCTGTTTGAAAATTATTCTCATTTCAAAAAATCTTTATAGACTTCAAGAAAGGCTTAGATTTTGGCAGATATACAAATAAAAAAAAAACACATATAAAAAATCCCAGTATCCTGCACGGTGAGCTTTCTAATACAGCAAGTAAAGTAGTTTCACATATCTTTATCTATACAATTAAGATGCAATCAAATGCACTAGCAACAGGAGATACTAATGTCATGGCAATGCCGGGATACAAGGCAGGCTGAGTTCAGAGAGTAGTCGATATCGGATCCAAGGTCATCAATAAGGGAATCCAAAATTGCAAGCAGGGCAGACAGAGAGCTTGGAGCGCATGTTACAAATACAATATCACAAGTATGAGACTGCAGGCTTGGCTGGTTGAAATGAGATTTGAACTCCACCCAGAGACTGGTCACATCAATCACCTTTCAGGTGGACAGACTAACAGGGAGAATGTATCACAATCAAAACCAGGATGCTGGAATGAGACCTGCAGCTGTAATGGAGTAGAAACACTACACCCTCCTGACACAAGCATTTTTTCATATGTATAGTTTAGTTGTACATTCCTAATTGTTTCAGAGGTATTGGGAAAAAGGTTATACCATGCCTTATTATAGCAATAAGGAGTATGTGGACTGTGATTGTCCTCAGCGGATGTGAAATAACCTCAAAAACCAAATTCAATACAGCTAAAACAGGAGACAGGGTTACCAATATTCCTGATACCTCAGATACAATCCTGAAAATTTTACAGCAGTACCAGCTCAAATTTTTTAACTTATCTTTATCTTGTGCAACAATAGGGTAGTTGTTGTGGGATACATTTCTGACAAACAATGTTTAGTTATGGCAACTTAATGTGATTTGACTGTCATTGCATATCAGTGAGATATCACGGAATCGTTCCTTGTGAACATACAGAGATATTGACTACTACCTATGTTTATATAAAACTATGCCTTTTCTTTTTCAGGAAGTAAACACTGAACCTACATCAACACAAGTCAAAGAGAAAACAGCACTTCTGACTTACAAATGTGGCAGTACAAATTCTACAGTCAATGCACCAGTAGAAATGACACAATTTATAATAGTTTAAAGAAATATACAGATTGTGTGAAAGACTCTTTCTATTTATACATCATGTCTAATAAGTATAATGCGATCATCAATCCTAGAGTACCATGTGGAGCCCTGCAAGATCAAAAGCTTGAAATATTTACAAAACGAAATAAGAAAAGAAAAAACACTTCACCATCCTCATCAGGGCCATCCTCAGCTTCAAGTTATGTCAGTGCAGAAGGAGGAATGTTTTTCAAAGTGGATCATATAGGATACACAAGTGGGAAAGCTCCACGGACAATATTAAGCAATGATATATACAAATGGGAAAACACACCACTAGCAGTGTTTGGATATAAGAATAAATCAATAAAAGAAGCAATTAAGAATGATAACAGATTAAATATCACCAGTGAGTTCATTCTTCAAAAAGCAGACAAGACTTCACACTATAAAAGTAATGTGAATTTGTCACAACTTAAGAAACCAGATGAAGAGGTACATACGATTGTGTTTACCACTGCTAAGAGTATAAAACGTAGAAAAAAATCCTGCTACATTTCAATCTGAGAAGCAAAAAGTTTCACATCCTGTTGATGCCCTGCTAACCCAGTACAGCATCCTGTAAAGAATCCACCTGTACCTGAAAACTACAAGTCGGAGATCAGCAGAAACTTTTCAAGTGCATTTTCTGGGTTCAGTACTAAAGAGAAACAGCAGATAAGGTTGAATATGATTAAAGATTACGGTCGTAATGTCATGTACAAGGAGCCCATGCTGGCTACCACTCATCGACTACTGACCAAGCACCTGGACAGTGTGGGGCTCATCGAGTTTACATTTGACAAACAAACAAAAACTGGGACTTTTTTCCTTCTTACTGACACTCTGGGCCTCACAGCTAACCATGTACTTAAACCTCCAGAAGAGTTAAAATGTCAGTATCAAAGTGCATCTCCACCTGTTGGAAAAATAACATTTAACCATGAGGAGAAAGATTGTATGAGGATCTCATATGATGCTACAGTTATATATTATAATGAAGAAAAAGATTGTGCATTTTTGCGGGTTTCAGAAAGTACAGGTCAAGAAGGCTTGTTAAATTATGTTTCCTTCCCTCCACAGGATGGAGCTGTCAGCATCATTGGTCATCCACAGGAAGATGTGCCACTCACATCAGAGGATGGCACTGCTACTGCCAGTCAACCAGTTTGCTACAAAAAAATTGATACAATGTGTTCAGTGATTGATTTAAAGCAAAGAGATGTCACAATCCTTGCAAACATTTTGTCTGACAAATCTTACATACATGTCCTGACAAAGTACAATTTTCAGATTTTGTCCAGCAAGACACTACTGACCTATGATACATGTTTTTATTGGGGTTCTTCTGGATCCCCAGTTTTTGATGATAAAGGCAAGCTTGTGGCAATGCACACAGGAGGGTATTTTGCTGACACCAATTTAGGAAAGAAAAGTGTAATTGAATATGGTAGAAACATTGTTGAAATTCTTATTGAAGGTACATCCTACATAGCAGAGCTAAAAATCCTGGTTTAAAAATGCATGTTCAGATAACAGTAATTTGTCCAGCTACATGAAGTCGGGCGGGCACCCTGATCATATAAAGTCTTCTATCTTGGATCTCCAAAAAACTTTGGGAGTAGCAGATCAGCCAGAGGAACACAACCCTAATTTAATTAATGAAGAAAGTGCTGAAGATCAAATGGATACATCCTAAAATCAGACACATCACAGAACTACAGTGGGGAAAATAATTATTGAATCCCCTGCCCACTTACAAAGAAATGAAGGGTCTATAACTTTTATCATAGGTGTATTTTAAATGATAGAGACAGAATATCAACTAAAAATCTAATAAAAACACAATACAAATGTTGTAAATTGAGCTGCAGTTCAGTGAGTAAAATAAGTATTTGATCCTCTACCAACCAACAATAATTCTGGCTCCCACAGACTGGCTATGTGCTCATGTGGTACACAGATTAGTCCCTGTCAATTTAAGAAGGTGCTCCTAATGACACCTCGTTATGTGTATAAAAGACACCTGTCCACAGAATCACTTTCTTCCAATCAAACCTCATCATCATTGGGCAAAGAGCTGTCAACAGTTGTCAGGGACAAGATTGTAGACCTTCACAAGTCTGGAATGGGCTACAACACCATCAGTAAAAAGCATGGGGAGAAAGAGCCAACTGTTGAAGCGATTATTCACAAATGGAAGAAATACAAAAAAATAGCCATCAATCTCCCTCAGTCTGAAGCTGCAAGCAAGATTTTGCCTCATGGGATAAGAATGATCATGAGAAAAGTGAGGGATCAGCCCAGAACTACATAGGAGTTGGGATCACAGTCACCAAACAAACCATTGGTAACACAATATGCCGCCATGGATTGAAATCCTGCAGCACCTGTAAAGGTCCCCCTTCTCAAAAAGGCACATATACAGACCCATCTGAAGTTTGCTAATGAACATCAAAATGAAATGGTGGAAAAAGTGAATCCCTGCTTTATGGGGTTTTTATCTTGTGTGTGTCACTTTGGAATAGTGGGGTCATCTTCTGATTTTTTTTTTTTTTTGGGGGGGTTGATAATATTGTAAATCTTTGTATTGGGATACACAGTGCCACATTTGTATTCCATTTGAGATACATATATTGCCAAAAGTATTGGGCTGACTGCCTTTACACGCACATGAACTTTAAAGCCATCAAAGTCTTAGTCCACAAGGTTCAATATTGCGTTGGCCCCGCCCTTTGCAGCTATAACAGCTTCAACTCTTCTGGGAAGCCGTCCACAAGGTTTAGGAGGGTGTCTATGGGAAGGTTTGACCATTCTTCCAGAAGGCCATTTGTGAGGTCAGGCACCGATGTCGCACAAGAAGGCCTGGCTTGCAGTCTCTGATCTAAATCGTCCCAAAGGTGTTCCTTGAGGTTGAGGTTGTGCAGGCCAGTCAAGTTCCTCCACTCCAAACTTGCTCATCCATGTCTTTATAGACCTTGCTTTGTGCATTAGTGCACAGTCATGTTGGAGCAGGAAGGATCCATTCCCAAACTGTTCCCACAAAGGTGGGAGCATGAAATTGTCCAAAATGTCTTAATATGCTGACAGCTTAAGAGTTCCCTTCACTGGAACTAGAGGGCCAAGCCCAACCCCTGAAAGACAACACCACACCATAATCCCCCCACCACCAAACTTTACACTTGGCACAATGCAGTCAGGCAAGTACCGGTCTCCTGACAACCGTCAAACATGTCCATTGGATTGCCAGACAGAGAAGCATGATTGGTCACTCCAGAGAACATGTCTCCATTGCTCTAGAGTCAAGTGGCGGCGTGCTTTACATCACGGCATCCGAGGCTTTGCATTGCACTTGGTGATGTAAGGCTTGGATGCAGCTGCTTGGCCATGGAAACCCATTCCATGAAGCTCTCTACGTACTGTTGTTGTGCTAATCTGACGGCCACACAAAGTTTGGAGGTCTTCAGCAGACAGTTGGCGACTTCTGTACACTGTGTGCTTCAGCATGCGCTGACCCCGCTCTGTCATGTGATGTGGCCTACCACTTGGTGGCTGAGTTGGTGTTGTTCCCAGTTACTTCCACTTTGTTTATAATCCCACTAACAGTTGAGCGTGGAATATTTAGTAGCCAGGAAATGTCACGGATGGACTTATTGCACAGGTGGCCACCTATCACGGGACCACGCTTGGAGTCACTGAGCTCCTGAGAGCGACCCATTCTTTCACCAATGTTTGTAGAAGCAGTCTGCATGCCTAGGGGCTTGATTTTATACACCTGTGGCTATGAAGGTGATTGGAACACCCCGAATTCAATGATTTGGGCGGCTGGCCCAATACTTATGGCAATATGGTGTATATTGCTTGTTACACTGAGCATGTCCAGGGACATAGGGCTGATTTACACACCACAGAGATGCAGTTTACATGCATATGGCAGCATAGTGGCTAAGTGGTTAGCACTTCTGCATAGCAGCACTAGGGTTGTAGGCTCGAATCCCAACCATGGCACTACCTGCTTTGAAGTTTGCATGTTCCCCCTGTGCCTGTGTGGGTTTGCTCCCACACTCTAAAGACATGCTGGTAGTTGTTTTGGCTCCTGTCTAACTTGTCCCTAGTATATGAATGTGAGTTAGGGATTTTAGATTGTAAGCTCCTTGAAGGCAGAGCCAGATGTGAATGTACAATATATACAGTGTTCATCATAAATGAGTACACCTCAACAGATTTGTCAGAAAACCTTTACTTTCCTTTCAGAATCAACATTTTCTATGGGACACTATACTACAAAATACTCCCAACAATGTAGACCATTGATTGCAAATAAGATTTGTTCATTTGTACACACAAAAAAGTATTTTTCCCAAAAAGTTCATTCAAGACCATGTTGCAAAAATGGTCTTAGGAGAAAAGCTAAGTTTTAGACTACAAAATCCCAATTAATAAGCATTCAACTACAGGGGAGTCTAATTATTCATTAAAAAGATGTCCAGCAGACAGTTGATTATAAAAGGGCGTTACTTAACAAATTAAACCCCTTCCCATTTAATGCTGTCAGCAATGGCACCACATGGAAGAGAAATGTCACAAGGCCTAAGGAAGAAAATAATTACTTTACACAAGGAAGGTGAAGGCTACAAGAAGATCAGCAAAGCTTTATCAGTCAGAATACTGTAGCAAAAGTGACACAAAACTTTAACAAAGATGGAACTGCAACCATCTCAAAAAGACACCCAGGCCATCCACCTCGACAGGAGCATCTTCTGATGAGAAGGGTTGAAGAAATTTGCCATGCAAGTTTATTGCAGTTAGCTAAAGAAATAAAGAGCCAAACTGGTCATCGTGCACTTTTTCAACATGACAATGATTCAAAACACACATCCAAGGCCACTTTTGCATTTCTCAAGAAGAACAGGGTGAAAGTGATTCAGTGGCCAAGTATGTCTCCTGATCTGAACCCAATCGAACACCTATGGGGAATTCTGAAGAGACAAGTTGAGCATCACTCTCCATCCAGCTGAAGATTTTGTAATCTAAGTTATATTATTAACCTTACTTTCATGTAATGAGCAAAACAAATGTTCTATAAAAATCATTTTTGTCAATATTTTGGAAATTGTTCTTGTGTTCTTTAAGATATTGATTACAATCTTACTTTTCAAAGAGGTGTACTCATTTATGCTGAGCAATGTATGTAAAGTGCTGTGTAAATTGACAGTGCTATATAAGTACCTGAAATAATAAAAATGCATATTTTTATTTGTGTCTTTTGCAATCTGATACATTTTAGACGGTTTCACATAATGTAAACAAAATAGCTGACATAACAAATAAAAAGTGTGTATGTGGAGGGTGGAGGGGTTTCTCTCTCACCCCCCCCCCCCCCCCCCCAACCACACACACACACACACACACACACACACACACACACACACACACACACACACACACACACACACACACACACACACACACACACACACACACACACACACACACACACACACACACACACACACACACACACACACACACACACACACCTTTCCTGGCCTGCAGGACTGTATGCTCAGATAAGGGTGTGTTAGTGATTTGGGGGGGGGGGCACACTTTTTTTTATTTTTTGGCCATGGGGTTCCCCTTCAGATCCATGACAGACTGAAGGGCCCATGCTCTTTTGGTACATGTTGGCTATGCTGTCTTCATTTTGTTGTCATTGGGGAATCACTGTGGACAACAGGGATGAGTCTCTGGTTATTATAATGCCTGTAGGTGCCGTCTCATGACCCAGAGAATTTGCAAACAAAAATGCCTGTCAGTGCGTTTAGGAGGTGCTTGGCCATTTCCCAGTGTACTGCCATGCATAACACATTCATCATGTTCTGATTTGGGGGGCTGCACAAGAACACACTGCACTGGGGTGAACTAGAGCCATTGGAATAGATGGGAACACTGGACATGGGTTTTGGATGCTGATGACGAATGTGCTTGTGAGCAATCTGGATGAAGCAACCCTCACAAAATTAGAGATTTCCTGCTCTGTACCCGGCACATGCCCAAGGACTTACAACTTTTTTTTTTTTTAGCACTGAGCATGCCCAGGAACTTGGACATTTCACATTTTCTGTTGTACACTGCACAGGTACATACAGTCAGGTCCATTAATATTGGGACATCAACACAATTCTAACATTTTTGGCTCTATACACCACCACAATAGATTTGAAATGAAATGAACAAGATGTGCTTTAACTGCAGACTGTCAGCTTTAATTTGAGGGTATTTACATCCAAATCAGGTGAACGGTGTAGGAATTACAACAGTTTGCATATGTGCCTCCCACTTGTTAAGGGACCAAAAGTAATGGGACAATTGGCTTTTCAGCTGTTCCATGGCCAGGTGTGTGTTCTTCCCTCATTATCTCAATTACAATGAGCAGATAAAAGGTCCAGAGTTAATTTCAAGTGTGCTATTTGCATTTGGAATCTGTTGCTGTCAACTCTCAACAAAGATGAGATCCAAAGAGCTGTCACTATCAGTGAAGCAAGCCATCATTAGGCTGAAAAACAAAACAAACCCATCAGAGAGATAGCAAAAACATTAGGCGTGGCCAAAACAACTGTTTGGAACATTCTTAAAAAGAAGGAACGCACCGGTGAGCTCAGCAACACCAAAAGACCCGGAAGACCATGGAAAACAACTGTGGTGGATGGCCGAAGAATTCTTTCCCTGGTGAAGAAAACACCCTTCACAACAGTTGGCCAGATCAAGAACACTCTCCAGGAGGTAGGTGTTTGTGTGTGTCAAAGTCAACAATCAAGAGAAGACTTCACCAGAGTGAATACAGAGGGTTCACCACAAGATGTAAACCATTGGTGAGCCTCAAAAACAGGAAGGCCAGATTAGAGTTTGTCAAACGACATCTAAAAAAGCCTTCACAGTTCTGGAAACAACATCCTATGGACAGATGAGACCAAGATCAACGTGTACCAGAGTGATGGGAAGAGAAGAGTATGGAGAAGGAAAGGAACTGCTCATGATCCTAAGCATACCACCTCATCAGTGAAGCATGGTGGTGGTAGTGTCATGGCGTGTGGGCATGTATGGCTGCCAATGGAACTGGTTCTCTTGTATTTATTGATGATGTGACTGCTGACAAAAGCAGCAGGATGAATTCTGAAGTGTTTCGGGAATATTATCTGCTCATATTCAGCCAAATGCTTCAGAACTCATTGGACGCCGCTTCACAGTGCAGATGGACAATGACCCAAAGGATACTGCAAAAGCAACCAAAGAGTTCTTTAAGGGAAAGAAGTGGAATGTTATGCAATGGCCAAGTCAATCACCTGACCTGAATCCGATTGAGCATGCATTTCACTTGCTGAAGACAAAACTGAAGGGAAAATGCCCCAAGAACAAGCAGGAACTGAAGACAGTTGCAGTAGAGGCCTGGCAGAGCATCACCAGGGATGAAACCCAGCGTCTGGTGATGTCTATGCCTTCCAGACTTCAGGCTGTAATTGACTGCAAAGGATTTGCAACCAAGTATTAAGAAGTGAAAGTTTGATTTATGATTATTATTCTGTCCCATTACTTTTGGTCCCTTAACAAGTGGGAGGCACATATGCAAACTGTTGTAATTCCTACACCGTTCACCTGATTTGGATGTAAATTAAAGCTGACAGTCTGCAGTTAAAGCACATCTTTTTCGTTTCATTTCAAATCCATTGTGGTGGTGTTATAGAGCCAAAAATGTTAGAATTGTGTCGCTGTCCCAATATTTATGGACCTGACTGTATGCTTAGATAACTGTTTCTTTCTCTCCATGCATGCTATTGGATTTAAATCTTTGGTCTTCAGTCTGAATTGATGCACATAGCCAAGGGCTAACACAGTTGGAAAAAGTATTTGTGCTAATCAGGTGCAAACAGTAAAGGCATACATGAGGAGACAGATTGAATGACATTGGTGGGCATGTCCTTTATTGCGTGTGCTAACAATACTACCTTTGTTATATAAAGGACTGCAGTAGTGGGGTTTGCTTTGCCTGAGAAGGGGGGATTTGGAGGGGGGGTTTTTGGGAGGTGGGGGGGGGGGGAGATATTGTTCATATTGACCAATACCCCACTAAGGCTGTTTTAATGTTTTCTTTGTGTGTTTGCTGTAATTGCATTTGTCCCTCAAAAGTAGGTTTTGTGGGCATGGCTTCAGTTTTCTGGGTGTTTTTCCAGTTTGTCCATGCGTTTATAGTTTGCGAGCATCTGCTGACACTTGTTTTCTTACCATTAAATATCAATTGTTCTACTCTTACAACTTCGATTTTGCTTTATCATGTAGACAGAAATGCAGCTTCCTGCTTACCATAATCAGAAATGTATTTGTAAGGGTGGGGTGGGGTGTTGGCGCTATGTTGTAGTACTGTATTCTTACATTTGTTTGTTTTTTTATACCCTGTTTTGTTTTTGAGAATCTTGCACCTAACAAATTGATAGGGGTGGGTGAGTGGTGAGATTTGTTGCCTGGTTAATATTAGCCGTATTTTGTTACCTGCTGTACACTGTGAAAGTTAAGTTGTGATCCTTTTTAGATTGTAAGCTCTTATGAGGAGGACCCTTCTAACCCTCTTGTAAAGCGCTGTGCGAAATGTAGCACCATAAATACTGTTTCTTTTTACACAAGTAAATGAATGTACCTAATTGTGTTGCTACTGTCAAAATAAATGTAAAATGTTGAACTATTTCTGTATGTGTTGGA